AAAATATAGTTTCATAAACGTCAGTCATGCATGAAAGAAAACAGAGGCCATTACTTGAATGTATAAACGTGTCTGTATTTGTCGGGGGTGACTTTTTTGTAGTGCTAAACATCAAGAGCAGTTTGAGTGAAAGGGGGAAATGAGAGAGACAGAAGGAACCAAAGCTTCAAGGCATCATACTGTAATTGGAAAATTGTGCAAATGCGTTTTGGAGTCATGTTATATAAATGGCCAGCAGAGATAATGCCTGAGATTCGAGGCATGGCCTAATTGAGAGTAGGAGATGGAGGAGGAGAGGGGTGGCGACGCTGAGGGGGCGAATGAAGTGTGGGTTTTAAATTGGTTGAAGTAAATCTGGATGGAAATGGGATGTTTTCAAAGATGTGGGAGGGAGGGAGGGAGGCAAGGAGAGCGAGCTGTTTCTCTTTAAAGGGGAGGAGGGAAAGGAAGAAAGGGAATAATACCCACTTTCTTCCCTGGTCTCCACACCTGTGACCCAGCAGCCAGCCGCAACAGCTATTTCTCCCACGTGTGTGAGCCTTTCTCATGTGTGTAAGTCTCTTAGGTTCCCTCCTTCCCCATATGATTGATGAGTCTCGGTTAGACCTGGATCTCTGCCATAGCCCGGGTCTGATCAGGCATGTTCTGGTCATAACAATGCCATCAATATGTGGCTGACGGCTGTATGTGTGTGTAATGAAACGTAAAAATGAAGCATAACCCGAGAGAGCCAAGACGTTATGGTAGAATTCCTGTTTCCTGCCCCTTTGCAGGATTAAAGAGGGACGTTGTTTAGATATAGTTTCCCGCAATTGATTGGAATTTGAATCACATTAATTAGCCCTTTCATGAGCAATCCATATTTTACTGTTTGACAAATGAACTTGCCTTTCATGGATTTTCTTCTCTCAGTTTCCGCTTCTTTGCCCCGTCTCAGGTTTCTTATTTAGTTCTAAGACGGACCAAAAATCTGCTTGATATTTGATGAGCAACGTTTGATGAAAGGCATTAGTGGGCCTGCATTATTTATGACTGGCGAGTGATGCATTAACTCATTAAATATGTATATGTACATTACATGAGAAGGAACATGTCCCATAGCATGTCATATTGATTATGGTGTGAGTTACTAGTCTCCTGCACGATCCATAAGAACAAAAAAAATATTAAGTGATGGCAAACCAAAATCTCTTAAGAGCTATATTGACGGATCCCCCCGCCCTCCTCACCCGATGCATTGTCACAGTTGAGAAGTTGCAGAACTTGGCTTCAACAGATCAAGGGTAGCGTCTGCACATGCAGCAGATTTTGTGTGGGAGCGTAGTGTGTGAAATAATGTGAGGGGGAAAGGAAGATGTGGTGCCAACTGACGCCGTTAAAGGGATCGTACCAGTGTTATTGAATTCTTTCCCTCATCTGGTTAGCTATCACTTTTCATCTCCTACTGACAACTTTATTTTCCATCCAAGGCTTCTTTACGAGCTTCACTGGCCACGTGTCCTCATCAGGAATTGAAGCGACTCGTCTTGCAGGCAGTGATGTAGTAGCAAACAAAATGATAAAAACTATACTTATGCATGTTGCCGATAATCTTAGAAAAAGAAAGAAAACATCAGTGCAATCTAAAATGAATCACTTCGCTCAAGAATGCATTAATCTTTGCTTCCTCACGAATATATAGATATATATATATTAATTTATATTATGTAATTTTTTCTCGCTGGCTTAAGAAGGAAGTTCAATTCCCACATAAAAATGCAAGTTTGTCCCGCTTGTAGGTCTCAATGCCTCAGAGGTGACTCTATGATAGTCTCCAGTGATTTACTTCTTTTCCACATTACAAAAGCTAAAAAAAATGAACTTGACAAAAAAGCTTTCTTGGAAATTATTTTTTCTTATTAGCATTCATGGTCATGGGTGGAAATGAGTGTAACTTAAATTGTTCCCAAGCCACCTCAAACTGCTGGCAGCTGTTGCTTTCCCAGGCGACTTGTTTCTATAAAGACATGTGAGCAACCATGTTATACAATCAGAACAAAAAGGTGGAGAATTACACATGCTCACATCAATTAGAAGTCAAGAGAGTGTTTTAGCCGTAGTTTAAAATGCACTAGTAACTAAATATGCAAATCAAGTAGAGTGTGAGTGCCTAAAAGCAAAAACAGTGACAGTTAAAGCTACATTATGTAACTATTTTAGACTAAAGTGACAGCTTCAAAAATCTACACTGACTGTAATAGGGAGAATGGGGCCTCTGTCAGTCCCACTTTGCGCCCTTGCACTGTGTAACTCCGGTCGTACAGTCCCCCAGGAGGAGAGCGTAAGAATTTATAGCGCTAAGTTGATATTTTATGGGGAAAATGTTTCAGTTTTCTCCTCGGATGGGCTCTGGACTCGCTGTGATTGACCTAGTTTGCTGATGGATATATAGCTTAGCTCGTTGCTAAAGTGACGCTAACTACTGCTAACAGTAGCTGCCATTAGCTAGCTAGGGGTTAGCTCAGATAGCCGTGCTGTTAAGACAGAGAATTTGCAGCACTGGAGCAGTTTTATAGTTGGCACAGTATCTTTGGATTGCTGGAAGGATGCTTTCAGGCCTGGGGAAGGGTTTGTTGCATGCCTCATTAGAAGCAAAGCAGGCCTGAAGGCAACAGAACCAGGTTAGTAATGTTAGCCAAATTGCTATGTCTCGAGTTTTCGCAGTTGCTTGATTTTTGGCCATTTAGCGGAGTTGTTGGTCATAAGTAATGGTATCGTAACAAATGTATGAGTACAGCTGTCCATATCTACCACAGTGGTGGTTTATTGCACTCTGAAACAAAGAGATTTGCTTTGAAAAGACAACCCTTGAATGATGTTGTAAGGAGCTAAGGATGATGCAGCAAATATATATACAACATATTAGCATGTTGACCTGTTGCATCAACTACTAGACATGAATATCAAGCTATATATAATTAGAATAATTATATAGATGACGCATTTATTAAAACATGAAGAGTTAAAAGTTAAAAATGCTGCAGTTCATGCTGTAACAGTACTATTTCCTTATTTCTGTGATGTTGACTGTTGCAGAACAACAGTAGAGCCCTTTGGCAAATTAGAGACACAGACACACAAACAGGCTCTCTCTCACACAGACAGACATTCACAGTGAAACATGCAGTCACACTCAGAAGCTTAGTGGGGGGAAGGTTTTAATAAACCTACAGTAACGTGGATCTATGGGGGCGTCTCGGGACGGAGCCAGGAAACCAGATGAACGTACCTGCCCCAAGGCGCAGAGAGAGAATCAGTGAGGATGGGGGTGTGAGTGAGGGAGAGGGGGGGGGACAGTCAAGCCACAGGCGCATTATGTCTCTCATTGCCCTTACTTTCTCTCTCCTGCCATCAGTCTGTTCACTCGCCCACTCTGTCTCTGCTCACATCATCAGCCACACGAAAGCCATACCCACAAACACTGATGTGTTTGTCAAGAGAAAATGCCGATCACTTTAATAACATTTCATGCCATCTCTGCTTTCACCGAGGACTTGGAGATTGTTCCTCAGCCGGCTAAATGCAGACTGTAATTTCAGACAAACGCAATGGAAATGTCGACTGCAGCCAATCAGATTTAATCATGTATGAAGAAATGTAATTCTGGAGGACACCAGGGCAGAGCGGGTTGATACGGGTATTAGTTACTATGCAAAAAGGCGTGTCAATATTCCCCCAATATGAATTTATGAAGCCTGCTTGTGATTTCAATCTGACTAATGTATCAGAACAAACCCATCTGTGCAGCACTGACCCCTGAGGTGAGGGTTTGGGGGGGGGGGGGATTGTGTGTGCAGTGAGGAAGTGCAGTGAGGAAGTGCAGTGAGCGTGGGCGGCTGGTTTAAGCTCCCACCAAGAACCAGGGTGGTCAGTGAGTTGGCAAATGAAATATTTTACCCACATTTGTTAAGCTTGAAGGAAACACAAAGAAGTAAGAACGAAAGAACATCTCTCCAGAACAAGTTCCATGGGAAAAATTTTATTTATCAATATGCGGTAGTTTCCAAACTGGTGGAACAGTATTTCGATTGTAGCTGGTGCCAATATGTTACGCTGAGAAGCGGCGAAAGAAGTGAATGGCAAGAAAAGAAAATAACAAAACTTGACAGTTATGATTCAAAGAAAAGGGAAATAAATTCAACAGGTTCTGCTTACACATGCACATTGAAAAATAATACTGTGGCTTTGAACAATAGGCAAAATCAACCTACAGTGAGAGGCTCATACCATGAGCGACCAACATCCTTGTGCTAAATTAGGAAAGGAGGGAGAGAGCAACTTTAAAACAAAGGGCCGCCTGGGAGATAATGAGTGGAGTAAAGCGGATGATTTATGGTGAGCGCAGAACGGTCACACTCTCATACGTGGCCTCTTTTCTCCTTCCTCTCTCCCCCTCGCTCTACGTCTCTCTCCGTCAAGCCCGATAGACTTATTAAAAATGAGAAAAGATTAATCTTTCTGGACCAAAATGTTTTGTTACATCTAATAATGGAGTGGAAGGTGTAGGGAACTCAAAGGCAGTGGAATAACACAGTCTTCATATGCAGAGTTAAGTGCTGTCTCCAACAGGGAAAGGGCCTTATCATCCATAGTTTAAATGACCTATCCATTTCAAAGCTACTCCGTGACAAAGCTTCAGTCCTGAACAGTTTCTCTTCAGCAACTAGAATTCTGTTGAATGGTGATGTTAAATCTCTGAACACCAGTTATTTTTTTATCTTTAACACGTGTGGTAACAAAGACTTTTTTGACAATACTGGACGCTGCAAAAAAACAGCTTGTGTCCGTTGCAATATTCAGTTTAACTCTAAAATAAAATAAAAACATATTGCAAACAGAGACAAAAATGCAAGGATTCATACAAAACACACTTTAAAAAGACAACTATTTACAAACATCCTCCATTACAAAAATCTAATCTTAAATTCTTCTTATGAGCAGTGTTCAGGTGAAATTACATCTTAAATTGGGCTCTATCCATATATTTACATTTCTCTGTTGTCTCATTTATCCCTTTTTTTTTTCTCCCCAAAACAAATTGAATAACATTGAGTGGTCACTAGTATGAATAAAAATGAAATATGGTGGTAATTTGGTAATGACTCCCTTGGCTGGTGTAGGTGAATGGATGCGCACCGATCCGAAACAAAAATATTTGAGTTAAATGTGTTTCACAGAGGGCCGCTGAGGGCTGCATGCTGAGTTAAAACACAGGACCACAAAAGCACGAGCAGCTGTTTAGGCTGTTAACTCCGAGGTTAACGACACGCAAAAGCCACTGGAGTCTTCCCGGAGTCTTCAAGCAGGGCTGCCTTTTAACTCAGCAGTGTATATCTGTGGATGGCAACAGTATGTGGCAGCGGGTGATTGGTGTCTTTGCTGGGGAATAAACATTCACCAGGCAGCCTGACCGTTTGACTGGAGATAAACCTGGACCCGTCAGTCTCGGCCTGTCTGTGCGTGTGATTGCACATGTGCGTCAAACGTCAGCTCGAGCGTGCGTGCTGAGGAATAGCTGTCCTTATCTGCTCCCCTCTCCTCTCACACATCATTAACCGGGACTGCGGCGCTCCGTATTCTGGCAGCCACAGTTAGGAGTTCCAGTCCCCAAAAAACAAATCTGCTGGGCTGCTACACCACAGATGCATTCATACACACAAACACACATGCAGAAAAACTGCAATTATAAGCAAAAATGAGCTCGTAGAAAGCATCTACATGTGCACATAGACAGGTTCCACCGCCACCTAAAGCAAGCTTCGGTTTTGCACACATCCAGCCGCAGTAAATCCTGTCTCGGTGCCGCTGCCCTGGGCTGTGAGATAGCTGAGCTGCAGTGTCCTCGCCGGCTCTACACCTTGACTGAGGAACATTCTGCACAGCATTTTTATTCACGGCACAACTGGGGAGAGGATGGAAAAAATGAATGCTAAAATACCTCTACCCACCCGTCCACCATCACTACCCCCACCCCTTATCCCCATCTGCACTGCCATCTTCCTCTCAGGTTATAGCCAAGTCACAGGAACATTTTCTCCTCACTTTTCCCCGGGCTGGTGAGTGTGGGCACAGAGATGGCACATAGATTACTCACACGCTGGCAACACCACTGACTCATCTACAGATGGCAGCCAATTGGCCTCTCGCAATACTGTATCCCAATGTTCGGCCGTAGCTCGCTATCCAACTCATAGGGCGTCCTACCTATGTAGGCCAGCCAATCAGTGCCATCTACGCCCACCCCGCCCAGGCAGCAGCAGGCACCAATCTAACCGTTTGATGTTACACCGGAGCATCAGAAGACAGAACAAACAAATATCAACCTGCCTGCTGTCTCGATACACATCTACCCTAAAGCTCAAAAACACCTTTGATGGGTGCCAACTGGAGCACTGACAGGGCGGCAGGGTTTTATAAGATCTCAGGATTGTCTGTCTGTCAGCATGTCAGCATGTCTGTCTGTCTGTCTGTTTTTGAACTTTTACGATACAGTAACTTAGTGTTCTTCCTCTAAGCCAGTAATTCTGCCCAGATACAGGACTGGTCTGGACATGCCCGGACCCCCACACAGACACACGTGGAGGACACACCTTTAAATACACACAAGTAGGTCATAAATACCAGAGTAATGATAAAGCTGATATCAGACCAGCGGAGAAGGGAGTTCTTCCAGGATACACATACACACCTCGACATCAACAGTCCAGGTCAGGGTGTTTTCTCGGGAAAAAATATTGGATGACTCGATGGATGACGTGGGTGGTGGTTGTGATAAGATGGAGTTATAATGATGATCTATTCAACTCTATACATTGTGCACTTGTAGGAAAAGTCTAACAAAATACAACTGCTTTGTGAACTGAATCAGGGTTTTCAAGGAAATCCTCCATCAAAAATAGTAAGTAAGGCAAACATCAGAGGTGCGAAGGGAGAGGAAACACGTTATTTCACACACTATGTCTGATACCTGAGCTATCTGGAGAGTTTCCTGGCCCAGCACGGAGCCCGGACTACTAACACACATGCACGCAGACACAAATACACACGTTTTATTAACGCTTGCACATGAACTGCAGGCTGAGTGGCTTTTGGGGCCTTTGTCTGCCTGTTTCTGGCTAGTGTGCTGCCGTGGTGTGTTTAATTGGGTGTTGCACATTCTGTACTTCAGGGAACTGAGATAAGTTATATCCTGCCCGTTAAAGGGGACAGCGGACCAGGAAGCTGGAGTCCCATCTGTTGGTTCGCTCCAGCCCCGCCTCCCCCCCTTGTTGGAGCACAGTGGGGAGATATAGAAGGTAGTAAGGTGGTGAGGGGGAGGATGAGGGGCAGGTGGGGATTGTCAGACACCCCAAAACAAACGGAATAAACCTTTCTCAGCAGTCAGCTCGTGACCCCATGTCAGTGCGTGTCTCTCCAGATTTGTGCAGCAGGTGGTAGAAATAACACAGGCTTGAAGAAGCATCAAGTCCCCAAAATGCAAAGGAAAGTGTCATTCCCGAGAACATAAATCAAGCGCTCCTCTCATTCTCCCTCCCGGCTGTGTGGCTGGCTGTGCGGAGCTCGTCAGACTTTGTAGTAGATGTTGGCGGGGCTCTGCGGCGGCATCTCCTGGACGATGTAGACGGGGTGGCCATAGTCGCCGCTCACCTTCTCGTAGTGAGGGCAGTAGTTGTTCTCTGTCCGCAGCGGAATGATGATGTCACTTGGTTCCGTGCCAGCCGTGCCCCCGGGCATCTTGGGATTGGACAGCGTGCTGAGTGACAGCGCCGAGGGGCGGGGCTGCGAGTGGGCGTTTTTCCTGGAGCGCTTGCGCATCTTGATTAGCAAGATGATGAGGAGGAGGATGAGCAGGAGGAAGATGATGCAGCCGCCCCCGATGGTGGAGAACAAGGCCACTTTGGAGCTGAGGAAGCTGTCCGAGTTGCCCGAAGAACCGGACTGGTCCTGATTCATGGTGTCTAAAGAGAGAGACAAAAAGAGAGGGCTTAGGGACTGCACATACATTACTAGGGGGGTCAGGAAAGGTATCGTTATTTTAATTTTGCTGAAGGAAGGGCAGCCATACTTATTTTGGAGGACAACGGAAGGTTTTTTATTTATTTTTTTATTTACCCCATATTTATGACCCCCGCCAAAGAGTTTTTCTTCTGGTCATTTCAGCGGTTTGTCTGTTTGTCAGCAGTATCACGGAAAAACTAATGGCCCGATGTTCATGAAACACAGTGGAACAGTGTAGCACGGGCCAAGGAAGAACCCATTACATTTTGGAGCAGATCAAAAACACAGGGTGGATACACATTATTTTTCACTTATGGAGACAGCCTTGGCGGGGTCTGGGCTCTCTGAGTGCCCTTTTAGTTTTATTTCATATCTGTGAGATTTATTATATAAAAAGAGATAGACCAAATAGGCACATCAAAAAAGATGGCTTCCATGTGGGCCAAAAAGGTGCATTTTGACCAACGCAGAAGACTGGGGGCGGGGTGAAACTATGGCAGTGCACAAGCCCCCCAGCAGGGAGCTGTTCCATGCTCAAATATTTTGAGGCTCGAAAAACTGTTTATTTAGCAGCTTGTTTTTCAAAAGAAAGAGAGTGGCTTGGTTTTCATAATTGTGTTAAGTTTGCACTAAATATATTATTCTGAGATAATGCAGTTTCTCTGTAACAGAAGGGGTAGGGAATAAGAGTCAGCACCCCTCCCCACCCCAATCATTTTCATACAGTCCCTAAGAGACTTCCGAACAATCGCAGCAGTAATATAATTTTCAGTGAGCCAGCGTTGTCATGTTCGGATCTTACTGCTCTGTGCCTAAATCAACTGTGATCATATCCCTGTTTGTTGTTTGCTCTACATGACATAACGGCCCCATTGATGTAATCTAATTGAATTAGCTTATTCAAAATAGACTCCTAATGAAATCTGCAGACATCACTCAACATGACAAAGATCTCCGCTCTGATAAGATCCAGCCTAGGCAAAATGCACAAGCCAAGATTTGTATGGAAAATGCCAAGTGAGATATGATAAAAAAAAGGGGGAATACATATCTTAACATCTGATTTTATTTTATCCTTTTTGTCTAAGGGGTTCAGGATGAGGTGGGGAGGAGAAGGGGAGGGGCTTTGACTGGCTCCTCTAGTGACTGAAATCCGAGAAGAACCAAATCTGTTTTCCATGTATGCATGCAGCTGCTGCCAAAGAGCAGCACTCACCTCCTCCCACCACCTCTTTACTGTCCATGAGCCCCCCCCCCCCCCAACAGGCACACAAAAGCCTCATACCTCTGGAGACTACCATCCCCACTAATGACTGTGTCTCCTCACTGGGCTGACCACTCCGCACTTAACCATTTATTGAGGAGGGCATAACTGGGCCTTATCACGACCAAATGACATCACAGAGCTACCGATTCCACGCTTATCTATGAAATCAGAGGCGCGAGGAATTTCGTACATTCTGTGCGCTGCACGGAGAGATCCGGAGCAAGGCTGTCAGACATTTCATTCCTGAAATATCAGCCCCTCAACCACACTGACACGTCCTTCATTCCACCCTCCACTTATTCACTTGACATAATCCCTGATCTAACAATGGTAGACAGGTAAAAGCCCGGGTATGGCGAAAAAATGACATTAGGCAATCTTTTTATAGCGCAACTAATGTCAAATAAGCAATTATTAAATGAGGGGAGCTTATCACATTGGGACAGGCTGTACTTGGGGGAGGTTTTGTGGCGTGCAAAAGTTGTGGAGTAAGTCAAAAAGTTGAGAAGTGGTCCCTTCTGTGGAAGGAAGTTATGAAAGGTGCCGGTGAAAACAGGAAACAAGGAAGGCCCAGAGCCTCCGAGGGGGCGCCGGTGACTCTTTCAATTATCTTCGCTTTAATCTTCATTTGTCTGCATTTCTAATAAGGTTTAAGAAGATATATAATAACGGGGAATGTCTTTGAGTCTCCTTGGGCGCAGCACGTGCTTACAGTGTGAATAAGAAAGTAACCTTTGGTGAGCTGTATTTGTTTCGGGAATGTCTTCTTATTGTGAGCTGCATTTTGCGAGTTTAATTTCCCTCTGTATTACATTGGTTTAACATCTTTCTTGCAAGTTGACCCCCAGATATCAAAGGAATGCCTGCGGCGTGAAAAAGCCATGAGAGAGAATGCTTACTTTGGGAGACTCAAACATGATTTTTATTTTCTCTTTTCAGGCTAATTGTGATGAATTATTAGAATAAGCCTCGAGGCTGTGAATATTCTTCTTTTTACACTTCAAAAACCTTTATTTTGCTAAACTATTTGCACTCTTGAAACTAGTAGGCATTAAAGAATCTGAAGCTGCAGTTTCTGGGTTTAATGCTGCTGTGTCACTCTGCTCACCAGAGTTTCCTGGCATCTCAGGGCCGACTCGTCCCTTGTCGGCTGGACTGGGACTGGACTCTGGGATGGCGTTGTCTTCTGGAACCTCCGGCGCCGCAGGGTTTGCGTTCGGGACTGTGGGAAACAGAAAACACACAGAAACTCAGCCTTGGCGAGCTACATGCGCTGAATCACAATGACTTGTCCCTCTGCATCTGCAAGGATTCTTCTTTACTATCTTTCCATATATCTTTCATGCACAGAGAAGGCTGTCTTTGCATGTGTTGAATTTGTCTCAGAAGTGAAGATGAAAGCAGAAAAAGGAAGGACAAGTCAGCGAACGTCTGCGAAACACGCCAGTATCCCTGTCCTGTCGTAAAAAATGAGCTCACATCTACATCAGCAGCTCCTTCAGCAAACACTCAGACAGGCATTTCCAACGCTGACACATTCATGAGAGCGTATAACACACACACGCCAGTGCACACACATAAGCCCACACATATACTTACAATACACTTAGGCATGGCAGAATGAGGGTAAAGCAGTTATATATTAACTTTTTATTGTTTTACATTATTCATCACGTTAAAAGGCCATAATATGTCTTATTTATTGCTCTGGATTTAACTCTGCCACAAAGAAGCACACTTTTGAAAAGGAGAGAATAGCAGGACGGGAAGAGTTAGGGACGAGGCGAGGAGGGGGTTGTATAAGCTAAGGAAACAGACAGTTTATCTGTCTGTCTGTTGTGATTTTAGCACACGCACTTTGAAGTCTTTGTGCGGTAAACACCGGTGGGTCCGCGGCGTGTCTTTTACGAGGGCAGGGCCGGCAGACGGGGAGCGGTTATAAACTATTACTGAAGCCGGTCAGATGGATTCCACAGCACACTATCAGATGCTGCTGCTCCATCAGGCCTTATCTGCATCTGCCCCAAGGCCCGCTCTGAGGGGTGTGTGTGTGTGTGAAATAGAGAGGAGGGCGTGTGGGGAGGCAATTTACATTTGAGTCCCTCCTGGCAACTTTGTGTGGCCGTGCATCTGTGTGTGTGAGTGGAGAGGGCCTGTCAGTCTATCTTATATTTCCACCTCAGTTTCAGCTCGAGTCGGTAGGGAAATGATTCTGTGTGAGATGTCTGGAAGATATGAAAAATAATATGGAAATAAGTAAAAGAGGGACATAAATGAAGCGGAAATATCCTTTCTTTGTTTCAAGAGGAACATAACCTCACTATTAACAATATCCCCTCCTCCTCTATCTTCTCCATGTCCAGACCACCGCATTGCTCCGTTCTGATTGCAGCAGTAGTGAACCTAGCCGAGAGCTGTTGTGCCCCGTCAATAATTAATGAGAAGAGACAGGAGTGAGAAGTGGGAACATTCACGTACGGCAGCGGATACACAGTGATCTGATTCATTCGCACATAGCCCCAACACGGTGTGTCAACCCAACACTGAGCATGTGCAGGGAGCGTTCTAATGTTCTGACCCATTTTTCTGTGTGTACTGCTGACATTTCCCTTAGCTATGCAGACAGCAACTACCTCAGAACTGCCAGCCCGCCAGAAGGAGGGAGGACGAGGAGGAGGGGGGAGAGTGAGGGAGACAATGATGGAGCTACAGTAGAGAGCGAGACAGTTAGAGGGAGAGATGAGGCGTTGAGTCAACATATTTCTAATGAGCACGGTGACATGATGTGCTGGAGGAGAAAGAGAGCGCTGAACAGAGATGGATGTATAAAATATGGGCTCCCCCTGTGTTTCCCCTGCAATCAATTTCACTTCCTTTCCACTTTTTACATTTTTTATAAAGACAAAAGACGGAACAGGAGCCGTTTAAAGTACAATTAGATATTGACGTGTAAGGGCGCATAATTTCCCACAAACCGATGATTCATCTTGATAAAGCAGGGGAGTGTCGCTGCAAGAAAGCACAACGCAAAGAATGCAGGATGAGTCACTGAAATATAATCCATAGAGCAGAGTGCAAAGGTGCTCGAGTGGACACACAGTATGGGGACTCGCACTTGGCTGCAGGAAGTGTTGGCATTCAGCTGCAGAGGAAATGTGGCTTAAACACAATAGCACCTGAGGTCAGGGCCAAGAAGAGCCCCATTTTATGTTTTGTTAAGTGAAACAACATCAAGCGTGGCGGCAGAAGGTAGAGTCTATAGGGCCGCAAATACTGATGTAGTATGAACAAAAAGCATAAAGAGAAAGCAACAGTTTCCACTTGTCAGAAGCTAGAAGACGTTTGATTAATTACCCAAACGTATACATTGAAATTGGGGTTATTGATTTTCCGCAAACCATTTGGTCAATAAATCTATTAATCCTTTAAGCAAAAAACTACTTTTCACAGGCTGCTTATTTTGACAATTGAATGGTTAGTTGGTTCATTAGGAATCAATGCTCTCCTTTGTCAGATGGTTCACTGATTGTCATCCAATGGTTAAGAAATTAGATCCATTACTTAGGCGAAAGAAGCGATACCAAGCTGTGAGAATTCTCTGTTACAAGTTAAAGTCCTGCGTTATAGTTCAAACTATGCATATATATTACCAGCAAAATGTTTTCTGTTTCAAAGTTGTTGAAGTTTGAAAGGTAAGGGTCCTTATTGTAGAGAAATGGTCCCTGTAATTGTTTATTAGAGTTTACTTTTATTTTAACGACTGATTCAATAATGTATAAGTAGCATTTTTAGCTATATAGTTGCTCAAGGTGGAGCTAATTTTATTTTAGATATTTTCAATGTTTATGTTAAATACTGGTACGTTTTTTAATGTGCAACTATACATTGTAATTCACAGGATAATTACCGGTATATGTTTTTTTATGCAATATTTTTTTTAAGTAAGTAGTACCGATAGCTGTCTGATAAATGTGAAAGGTACAAGTACCTTACAATTGTACTTAAGGTCCGAACTCAGTAACAATCATTTGGGCTTTAAGAAATGACATTGAGCAAACTAGTATTTTCAATTCATGGATTTGTCAATTAACTGATCTGACTGAATTAAATAATTGTCAGCGGCAGCTCTAATTCTAACTTTTCAGGGAAAAACTCACTTAGAAGTAGAACAAAGCTAAATCAAAGTTCCTGTCGTCGCTCTAATTTCCCACGTCCTTTCCTCTAATAGTTCCTGGGTTAGATGGGCATTTATCGAATCAAAGATTCCGTCACAGAAATAGATGTTTAAAGTAGTAACAGCTGGGCCAGCATCGTCTTTTTCTAACAGGGTTTTTAGGACACATCGTTTGTGAGTGACAGCTTGTTCGGACCGTTTTGGGAAATTAGCGCTTGGCTCTGGCGAAGTCGAGGAAAAGGATTCGAGATGAGGGGAAGTTTCCTAGAACTTTCATCGAATCAGACATTCCCTTTCAACTTTCATTAATGCGAGTTCAGGGATTTACTTTCTCTCAGTTAATAGTTTAGTGCAAAAAGGCTGTGTTGCCTGGCTTCATGCAGGCGTGTTGTCATTTAGCGATGGTGTTGCAATCCGGCACTGTGGGATGCTCAAATTGACCTACATGGAAAGATAATGCAACGCTTGTCTGTTTTTCCGTGGCGGTTGTGGGTATATTTCTCTGTATCTGCTAAATTTGTAGCGACTCAGACCTTGCTAGCATCAGCAGCTTGTTAGCTTCTCTTCTCACACAGACTGCCAGGACGCACTGCTGTCATCCAACTAGCCAATATTCAAATATCTACACACACATTTGCAGAAACACACACATTTCTCAGCAAGTTTATGTCAGACTTGTTGAGAAGCATCTTTTTAGCTGCAGTTAGATCATTGTGGAGGGCAGATGTTCCTCTCATATGGCGGTTAGTGTCTTATTCGGTCAAAACAACCCCACTGAGGATGGGGGGAATGTTTAGAGAGTAACATATCTGTGTACTGTGTCCTGTCAGATTCAGGATATAGACGTCCACATACTGAATAAAACTGTGTCTAAAAAGTGAAACGTGTGATGTGAACCAAATGTTGTGTCCAAGGATATCTAAACAAAGCCCTCTTGTTTACTTCAAGCATTTTACTCCGACTATGCACTTACATACCAATTTTAAACACATTTTCACTCTGTGATTACTTTATGGGAATCCGGTAGAAAAACAGCTGAGAAATATCAGAGGCTCTTTTGCAATCTAAAGTGGTGTCATTACTTATTTCTTTGTTATTCCTTGGTGTTCTCACTATGTGGACAACTGTGTGTGTGAATGAAAATATTTATTTAAAACTACTGCACTTGAACAATTGAGATTGGCAATATGGATATGATTATGTGTCAAAGTAAATGTAATTGTACAGCTTGATATCGATACATTGTGTATTGTTTTACTGGGAATTCAACTGAGAAACTCGGAATAGACAGAGTAACCAGATGGCAGATTTATACTTTACTAAATACCCGACTTAGCAGGGTACTGCATCACACTGAAGCTAAAATCCTTTAAATCCAATGCTGCGGTCTATAAGGAAGTCCTGCTTATTGATTTCCAATGTTGCCTTCAATGGCCACATACCAGCAGAGATATTACAGCAATAATTATCTTAGTATAATAAATGGGAAACGTTGTTTCACAGTATATATTTAACCATAAATCTTGACTAACTAAATAGCTGCTGATTTGAAAGAGATTTAAACTGTTATTATTTTTTATAAATTTAAATCCCAATATTTAGCATTTTTAAACAGTTTAATCACAATAATAAAAGGTTTATAACGTAGCCTAATAATGTAGTTGTGTGCTTAAACACTACTTATAACATTTTGTGACCAACTGTAGGTCCTCCTGTGAAGCATCAGTAAGTGGACAGCTATTAAATGACAGTTATAATTATACATTATAACAACAATATTTCTATAAAATGTTATGAATGTGAAATATTAAGATTTTGTTTTATATAAACTGTATCATTTAAATAAAGAAACATGGTTGAGTACAATATTTGGGTTATTCATAAATACTTTTCTTTACCCTTGCAAACGCAGAGCGAACTTAATTCCTGAAGGCATGTGCCAAACTGTGCAATCATATATAATTAAATATGATTGCACCTCTGTTATTTCATGTGATCAATCATTCATTGTCTATTCATGAACAGGTTATGGATTGTTTGTGGGGGAAGTTTTAACCCTATAAAAATATACAAAAAAAGCAACTAGAATGTTCTTATATTTGCTTGCATTGACATGAAAGTGTTTTATATGTTTATAAATGCTACATAGCGTTACATAAGTGTACCATGTACTATTATTTTACTGCTATATTTTAAAACGGTTGTAAACGGTAGAGCTGGGCAATATGACTGAAATCTTTACCAACAAGAATATCTTTCACATTAAATATTAAATATATTACTTTTACTTATGCATATTAAATGCAAATGTATGCAAAATCCCTATTAAATTATAAAACTGACGTTAACTCAAACAAACAGCATTCTTTTGCTATGCTATGAATATGTGTTGTTAATTGGATTTGGCCTGAAAGCATTAATTTGGACACCAAAAATAAACATTTTTAAGACAATTAACATATCATAATGATGAAACACCACTAAAAGTCAATAATGGTCGTATTAAAGTATCACTAAGCCTTAGGGTATTTCATTAGAAAAAAAAGAACACTGTTGGCAAATGTCTTTTATCACACAACTTTGCAGTTTTTGAGAGCAGGTTGTATCGGAGGCCGGTGGCAGACAAAGTCAAGCTCGGCTCACATAGCGATAAATGGAAATGTCAAACCAAAGTGAAACATTGCTTTAAGGCAGCGGCTCTGTGGTGTGTTCTACATGTGAGGTGAGCACACATTTACCTTGCCCGACTTTCATGACGATTTTCATGGCTCGACTCTTGCACGCGCCTCCCTCACGGTTCTCCAGGCCCTCCACGGTACCGTTGGAGGTTGCTGCAGAAAAGAAGGAGATTGCAGAGAAAGAAGAGGTGGGTGAAGGACAAGGAGGAGGGGGGGGAGGTGATGGAGAGTAAAGGAGAGCCGAGAAGAAGGGGAGAAAGAGGAGAGAAGATGACACACTGGTTAATGAGCACGTCCATAACGCACAGAACTAATCAATATTTACGACAAGCACTGATTAGCTGTTCCAGTGATTAGCCGTTCTCACCCTCAATCAACCGCCAGCTCCTCTCACCGGTAACTCTCATTAACACAATAAAGTGAAGTCAAATGAATGGAACAACATTAGAGTCTACTGAGGGAGGGTGGGCGCCGAGGTGGAGAGGAGCAACATGGTCAGACCTGTGAGTGTGTGTGTGTGTTTTCCGTCTGTGCATACTTGAGCAGTGAGACATGCCAGCAAAAGTTCCAGCTTCTTGCCAAGTCCTCGAGCAGCTTACTCCCTCAGAGCCACATGTGTCATTACTTGCTGTTAGCGCTGAGAGCTAAATGCCTCCCTTAATGTTTGTGTGTGTGTGTGTCTGTGAGTGTGTGTGTGTCCATTTACACATTTGATTGTGTGTTTGTCCGCTTCCCTCCATTTGTTTTAAAGGGGACATATTGTGAAGAAATACCTTGTTTCAGTGCTAATCCTTATACATTTGGGTACCTGAAATGCAAACCACATAATTAATTAAATAAGGACGACCCGGTGAGTTTTTTGTGGGCTGCCTCAGACAGAAAACAGGATTCAACGAGTCATTTTTGGCTCCCCTTCCTATGTCACAATGCAGGACTATTAGATAATGCTACATCCCTTGCAGCACGGTAGCTTACCTAGTAGAGTGAACATCTAAATGAACTAAAGTTATCTTTTTATTAAAAGGCAAAAAAGCCCAAACTATTTTTCTTGAGCTAATCGAAGCAGACTGGGCCATTTTCACGAGGTGGTCTTAAAGAGACAGGTGCTAAAACGGAGTGTTAAAAGCTAGAGGGTGAATATAGGTTTATTAAAACAGACAGAATGAGAAAAATACAGCCTTTTTTTAATGTTGAAGCATGTAAACATATTTTAGTAGTAGCCTCGATAAAAAAAAAAGACCCTGAAGATAAGCACAATATGTACCCTTTAAAGTGTGCATACTGCTCGGACTTGTGCGAGTAGATCAGGGTCGAGGGTTGGTTTTTTCAATGTCACATTCACTTCAGGCACTGTGACACAATTGGCTGTCTATTTTGGGACCCATGATAATGACCTAGGGAGACAGAGTGCGACTCTGACCTTAACACCAAGCGGCTGGCTCAAGGCGGTTGTGTATATGTGTGTGTGTGTGTGTGTGTGTGTGTGTGTGTGTGTGTGTGTGTGTGTGTGTGTGTGGGTGCGTCTGTCTGTGCGATGGCAGCTCTAATTTTGGAATTCCCCAAATGATCTCCATCTCCGCTTAGTCTGCTGTTTCAACTCACTCCCTTCCTCTGAAATGCTTTTGTTTCTCTTCCTCTCTCTCTCTCTCTTTCCCTCCCTGTTTTTCCATTCACTTCGTTTCATTTTTTATCTGCTCTATCTGACTTTGCCCCTCCCATTCCCTCCCTCTTAACTCAATGACCATCTCTCTGGGTGATTGCTTCAGATGGCACCCTCATTATGATGATAGTCTGGGAGAGGGTGCTTATCTAATGATGACACAATAAGAGGGAGCTTTGGACTGGGGGGGATTTGCTAACAAACATACCCTCCATGGCATGATTTTCAGATTGGTCCTACACGCTACAAACTGTTGTTGTATCAAGCCGTGTTGAAATACGGCTCCGGAACTACGGAAAGGCTCATCTGTTTGATTCATGCCTTGTCATTCCTTAGTATTATTAACGTTGACATTTTGTTGCCCTCTGGGATTTCAGCTTGGTGCTTGGGCGAAATTGAAGAAAGCTAAATAATGAATTGCGCTAATATTATGTTACATTATCAGATCGTTCTCGGCCCCTAAATTACACGGCGAACCACAACATTTTGTTAGTGTGGCCGGAGTACGTGATAACCCGCGAGAATGATTGTGATAACATTGTGACAGGAGCTCTTTGGCAAATTCCCCCAGCTTGTAGACTCAACAGGACTTTGAGTGAACCGGACACTGAAATATATACGAGGAAGCCAAGCCGAGCCGAGCGCAGCTACAGAGCGATTTGGAATTTACGTTGGACGTTAATGTGAGTGAACACTCAAGGCTAAGTGAGTCTTATGATTTATGAAAAGTCTGCGCAGGGACCATGTCTCTTGTAAGGGGGAACATTCAAAGACAGTGAGGTGAACGGGGCCCGTTTCCAGTCTTAAAGGTGCAACATTTCACAGCTTTGAATGGCCCAGACACTGCCACAATTGCTAACCTCATCCTGCCATTTTCCGCCCAATTTCTTCTTTTCTTTCAATTTTTACGTTTCCAGGGCAAAGTTATACAAAAAGGAGCTCTTTGAAGACCGAGCTCAAAGGCGCTTGAATAATGTGACTAAGAGAGAGCGTCATGCTATGAATTTTATATCCACTCAGGGAGAGCAAATCTTCTCTGTGTTAACTTACTTCTGTCATCTAAATGAACTATTCCTTAAGGCTGGCTGAGCATTACTGATGATGGCAGGATAATGAAATGGACCTTCGAGGCTTCCGTCTATGTAAACAACCCAAAGAGAGCAGGATTTATAAAGAGATGATCACTACATATGCTGTTTGTATTCAGGCCATTTAAGACGTCATATCATTCAAGGCTTTTACTATAGCGATGGGAACTCATAATCCGATTAACCATGTCAAATATTTACCACATTTCCTCATGTGCATCCATCTTTTAAGCACTTTTCAAGAAGGAAATCCACTCATGAAACAACTGTTGAGTCCATTTAATAAATGTGCAGTGAATCTGCAGACTGGGTTTGTGTTTGTCCTTTTATCCCTCGTGTCATATCACTGTATTTACATTTATCATGTCAGCGTTCACTCAGAAAAAAGATGACTGCCAGCCACGTTTCTCAAGCCCCATAACCCTTCTCCACAACAAGGACACGCTGCCAGCTTTTTTTATTTAATCTGAAAGCTTCTCACTCTATCTCCTCTTTCTCTCACTCAATTCCCCTCCCTCTCTCTCGTTTCATCCCCTACGTTAATCCAAATCTGGATTTCCAGATATTAAAAGGCAGACGGTCATGTCGTGTTTTGGAAAAGAGGGAAACTGGGGAAATGGGTCTTCCTGTGTGTCTCTGTGGAGATGAAAACACAAGGGGATAAAGCAACGACAGGATGAAGAACAAAGAGACTCCCATTCTGCTGCTAATGATTTAGTGGAGCAAACCGTTTTCCATGTCAGAAGTCCAGAATACCAAAAGAACCGGTCATTGCATGAAGGAATGTTGCCCTCTTTTTTTTTTTTTAAATAAAGCGGTCAGGCTCCAAAGCTGTATTTTTTGCGATGATTTAGGGCCCTTTTTGTGGGTGTGGATCGTTGGCCGCAGAGTGGGAGAACAAAAGATCTACAGCTGCTGAAGTCATAAGAGAAACCAGGTGCCAAATGTTGATGTTGGGAAATATCTACAGTACAAATGTATCAGCCAAGAGAGAAAAAGCTCATGGGGGAGAGAGCTGGCTTGCAACAAAGGCTCCTGTTCCAATACCTCACATATACCACTAGCACATTTACATGCATATATGCTTGCATATGAACGGATTTCACAAGGACGTTGGAGGGTAGAGTGGAAGGACTGCTCCCCCAGGTGCTCCGGGGAGAGGAGTGGGAGATGTGTGAGGGAAGCAGTGCAGACTGGTCGAGACGAAACAAGCCGAGGTTAAAGTGCGACGCGGCGGTCTATATTTATTCTCAGGTCTGCTAAATGAGGTCACTCAGGTGGTCCTGCTGAATACATTCCCCATCTCCATCATGAATCATCCGCTGCTTATTATTCCTGTCCAGCCCAGGTGGGGAGAAGGAGGGGAGTTGCTTTTATTCCGTGTGTGTGGATGTCAGTCCCGTGTCTATGCGCGCGTGATTTTGTGTGCAAAATCTGCCCAAAGCGCCGAACGAAGGGGGGGAGGGGGATTGATACAGCTCTGGGATTGGATGTTGGAGTGGCAGTGCGTCAAACAGCTGTTTGAAATGGAACGAAACCACGCCAGACTATCCAAAACTGGAATCGAACGCCCCCTCACCCCCCGTCTACCTCCACAGCATTCAGACTTCCACTTAGCTGAGCCGAGCAGGGACTGGGTAGTCACAGTAACCACAGGCAATAACGTCTACATTTCCCCCAAAAGATAAATAAAAAGCTAAATGCATGAACAGACACAACCACATTCTGATCACTTACACTTAGCATCAAGGGGGACAACCGCCCGCACACACTCCGTCTGAGGCAAAGCATGAAGATACACACTGTCAGGTTTGTGTATCAAACAGAGTGTCACAACAGAAAACGACTACTTCTCACATCTGCGATATTCCTATCTGGGTTTTGTTTACATTCGCACACCCGAGTCGAAGTAGGGCGAAGGAAAGGAGAGCCTATTTGCACAAAATATTTCACTCCTGAATGAGCACAGAGAGGGTTAGATTAGGTTTATGGGCCTGATTCCAGAGATAACCCTCCCCAGCAGATCTGGCATGCAAGCAAGCATGCACGTGCGCACACACACACACGCACCCACGCAAACACATAGAGTGAGGTTGGCAGACTGGAATAATACTGGGGGATCTAGATGTTTGCACTTTGAACCTTTTCTAATCCTCAGTATTAGGCCATGGCTAAAGCCTGATTATGGCAGAATGAAATGGATCTAAATAGATGCGCGAGCCCATCAAGCCTCCTTTTCTTTGTCCTAGAAATAGGAATGGAAATCAGCAATCAACCTCCAACCTCTCGCTCGCTGCCTCACCCAAAGTCTCCCCATGCTCAGGTTTGGCATCGTCAAGGAAAATTAATTCAGACTTTTCATATCGTCTCACATGAATTAGGCACTCACAGCCTCGACCAACGGT